TCAAAATCACAACGACACCAAGACGGAGCACAATAACAGGATCAAGACCGTCGACAAGATGTCAGAATCTACCATGTCATATTAATACAGCAGCGACTAGAACCGTATCGCGCTGTCGTAGAGCGACTAGGTCATCTTCATTTCCTTCAAGTAGTCCATAATGTACAGTGATCCAATAAAGCCACAATTTGTAACTTCCCTTTTTTATTTTTCAGAACGGTCTCATTTTTTGTGGTTTGTCCCATGAAAGACCGTACTTCACGATACTCAAACTATGGTCAACCTAGTGTGACCATGCTGTCTCTTTGACCGCTATCTCAAAGGAGGTATCGATGCCCTTGGGATACACAATCTTTATCGAGGAGCATCCATCCAACTTGGCATTTAGGATGCAAAGATGCGCTATGCAACGTCGGTCGTAGGCCGTGCGTTGTCTTTACGGCTCGTTATTTGACTCAACAATGCTCACGATAAAGAGTTAGTTCCAGTCACAACTAACCAATTCAAGCACATCGTACAAAGTTGAAAGTGCTTGAGGTATCCTCGTTGATGAGGTAGTGACACAGCATCGGCTCGGCTTCATGAACTGTGCACACGAGCGGTGTAGTTGCAGTGATTTCAATTCCTGTTTCGCCGTGTTCATTTGTTTTTCATTGTGTGGAGAATGTGACGGAGGGGTTTTCGCCTAGAGTCGGCATTATCGAGCCCGCTTGAAGACGCATCAAGCCAAATTGTTGGATAGTTCTGACAATATCGGTTTGCTTGTATCGATCTGGAAGAACGGTCGCGTAGCTCTCGGTTGTGATCGTATCATAAACTTCATTCCCTAAAACGTAGAATCGAACAATCATCAGTAAATGAGGTTTTGGACGACTGTCGGATAACAGACCAATACGGAAGGACTCACCTCAACCACGTCACCCTGTCTAAGAACCTTGTGCATAGAATTCAAAAGCTTAGCTTGCTTTCCAGATATCCTTTTCAACTCTTGATTCGTCCAAACCACGCGGCTTCGCTCCTCCCAGTTCGCAATTGCTATCAGGGCCAGTAATACAGTTTTCCCAGCCTAATCTGGAACTGCAAGCTGCTATGTCCCTTCGAGAACTTGTGCCTGCGTGCAGTAAAGATTTGAACCAGATTCGACTGCTGTACTGAGTTAAAGTAGATTTAGCGGGAAAATGTCGCCAAACGGGAAGACTCCATGCATGCAGTGGTTGCTAGATTGCAGTAGTAAATGAAAGGCTCACAGTGAACATTATTTATTGCAGTACTAGGCTGTGTGTACGTTCATGACAGCGTTTCAATGGACCTCGCGAGCTTGGGAGGTAGTTACCTCAAGCACTATTAGGAACTGCTGGAGGCATTCTGGAATAACAGCTTCAATGTCAATGACTCGCATTCTCAGCTAACGACTCGATCAGATTAATTCTGTACATTTTGCATCTATGTGAGCCCTGTGCGAATCGTGAAACCTCGCAGCTTGTATTGGTCCCACCTTTCCAGATTAGGCGGGGAAAACACTTTCGAATCAGCAGAGCACCCAGCAAAGCCCCGGCCGCCCCGTACCAGCAGTCGGCGTTCGAAAGATTTCGAGTACAAAGCGTCGGTTCAGTAACTACTTGAATTGACTATAGCGCCCAGCCCAACCCGGTCTTTGAGCACCATGAAGGCTCCGAAGGATCCGGGCAGGGCGAAGCCGCCGGACCCCGTACTCTTGGCGCCAGGACCGACAAGCAGC